GGACGAGGCGATGATAAGCCATGCGTCATATGAAGGCGACGGTCACCATCCAGGAAGGGAATGGCGAGCCTGGTCGCTAGATAAGGACTTCGGCGCTGGGGCCGGTCTAAATGTGAGGACGAGACGATGATGAGCCGTGCGTCATATAGGAGCGACGGTCGCCGTCCGGGAAGGGATGGCGATCCCAATCGCTATAACAAGACTTCGGCGCTGGGAGCCGGTCTTGAGATAAATAATCACGTCGAGGCCGAGAGGCTGATCGTGGTGTGCGGACAGCAATAATGAGCCAGTCCGAAATATGATGACAAGGCGATGATGGAGCCGATCGTCATATAGAGGCGATAGTCACCATCCAGGAGGGGATGGTGAGCCTGATCGCTAGCCCAACACACTCGGCGTTGATGAAGCCGGTGTTGGGATAGGGTGTGACATCATGGCCGAGGGGCCGATCGTGATGCGAGGTCGTCAGCACTATGAGGCTGATTCAAAAGTCCAAGCAGCGGTCGCCATCCGATGAAGGAATGACTGAGACCGGTCTTGGGGATAGCTAATCACGCCGAGGCCGAGGGGCCGATCGTGATGTTCGGACGGAGATGATGAGCCGATCCGATAATATGATGACGAGGCAAGAATGAAGTCGATCGTCATATAAGGATGATGGTCACCATCCAGGAAGGGATGGCGAGTCCGATCGCTAGCTCAAGACTCTCGGCGCTGAGGAAGCCGGTCTTGAGATAGATAGTCACGCTGAGGCCGAGGGGCCGGTCGTGATGCGAGGTCGTCAGCACTATGAGGCTGATCCAAAAGTCCAAGCAGCGGTCGCCATCCGATGAAGGAATGACTCAGACCGGTCTTGGGGATAGATGATCACGCCAAGGGCGAGTGGCCGATCGTGATGTGCGGACAAAGATGATGAGCCGATCCGATAATATGATGACGAGGCAAGAATGAAGCCGATCGTCATATATGGGCGATGGTCACCATCCAGCAAGGGATGGCGAGCCCGATCGCTAGCTCAAAACTCTCGGCGCTGACGAAGCCGGTCTTGAGATAGATAGTCACGCCGAGGCCGAGGGGCCGGTCGTGATATGAGGACGACGACGATGAGGAGTCGGTCCAAATAATGATGACGAGGCAATGGTGAAGCCGATCGTCATATAGAGCCGATGGTCACCATCCAGGAAGGGATGGTGAGCCCAATCGCTAGCTCAAGATCACGTTGAGACCGAGGGGTCTGCCGCGATGTAAGGATGACGGCGATGATGAGCCGTTCCAATAAATGATGATGAGGCCATGATGGGCCAATCGTCATGTAAAGGCGACGGTCACCATCCAGGAAGGGATGGTGAGCCCGATCGCCAGCTCAAGACTCTCGGCGCTGAGGAAGCCGGTCTTGAGATAGATAATCACGCCGAGGCCGTGGGGCCGGCATGATGTGAGGACGACGGCGATGAGGGGCCGGTCCAAAAATCCATGCAACGGTCGTCATCCGGTAAAGGAATGACGAAGACCGGTCTCGAGATAAATAATCACGTCGAGGCCGAGGGGGCCGGTCGTGATATGAGGACGAAGGCACTGAGGGGCCGGTCCGAAGATCCATGCAACGGTCACCATCCGGTAAAGGAATGACTAAGACCGGTCTCGAGATAAATAATCACGTCGAGGCCGAGGGGGTCAGTCGTGATATGAGGACGACGACGATGAGGAGTCGGTCCAAATAATGATGACGAGGCGATGGTGAAGCCGATCATCATATAGAGGCGATGGTCACCATCCGGGAAGGGATGGCGAGCCCGATCGCTGGCTCAAGACTCGCGGTGCTGAGGAAGCCGGTCTTGAGATAGATGATCACGCCGAGGCCGAGGGGCCGGTCGTGATGTGAGGACAACGGCGATGAGGAGCCGGTCCTATAATATGATGACGAGGCGCTGATGAAGCTGATCGTCATATAAAGGCGATGGTCACCATCCAGGAAGGGATGGTGAGCCCGATCGCTGGCTCAAGACTTGCGGCGCTGAGGAAGCCGGTCTTGAGATAGATGATCACACCGAGGCCGAGGGGCCGGTCGTGATGTGAGGACGACGACGATGAGGAGTCAGTCCAAATAATGATGACGAGGAGATAGTGAAGCCGATCGTCATATAGAGGTGATGGTCACCATCCGGGAAGGGATGGCGAGCCCGATCGCTAGCTCAAGACTCGCGGCGCTGAGGAAGCCGGTCTTGAGATAGATGATCACACCGAGGCCGAGGGGCCGGTCGTGATGTGAGGACGACGACGATGAGGAGTCGGTCCAAATAATGATGACGCGGCGATGGTGAAGCCGATCATCATATAGAGGCGATGGTCACCATCCGGGAAGGGATGGCGAGCCCGATCGCTGGCTCAAGACTCGCGGCGCTAAGGAAGCCGGTCTTGAGATAGATGATCACGCCGAGGCCGAGGGGCCGGTCATGATGTGAGGACAACGGCGATGAGGAGTCGGTCCTATAATATGATGACGAGGCACTGATGAAGCTGATCGTCATATAAAGGCGATGGTCACCATCCAGGAAGGGATGGTGAGCCCGATCGCTGGCTCAAGACTCGCGGCGCTGAGGAAGCCGGTCTTGAGATAGATGATCACGCCGAGGCTGAGGGGCCAGTCGTGATGTGAGGACAACGGCGATGAGGAGCCGGTCCTATAATATGATGACGTGGCAAGGCGTTGGCGCCGGACTGAACATGTAGGACGGTGGAGCTGGTCCGAAGATGATGGACGGCGTTGGGAGCTCGTCTGAGATGAGGGACGGCACTGGGCGCTCGTCTGAAAATGAGGGACGGCGCTGGGCGCTCGTCTGAAAATGAGGGACGGCGTTGGGCGCTCGTCTGAAAATGAGGGACGGCGTTGGGCGCTCGTCTAACAAATGAGGGACGGCGCTGGGCGCTCGTCTAAGATGATGGACGGCGCTGGGCGCTCGTCTGAGATGATGGACGACGTTGGGCGCTCGTCTGAAAATGAGGGACGGCGTTGGGCGCTCGTCTAAAAAATGAGGGACGGCGCTGGGCGCTCGTCTAAGAATGAAGGACGGCGCAGGGCGCTCGTCTAAGATGAGGGACGGCGCTGGGCGCTCGTCTGAGATGAGGGACGACGCTTGGCGCTTGTCTAAAAAATGAGGGACGGCGCTGGGCGCTCGTCTAAGAATGAAGGACGGCGCAGGACGCTCGTGTAAGATGAGGGATGGCGCTGGGCGCTCGTCTAAGATGAGGGACGGCACTGGGCGCTCGTCTAAGATGAGGGACGGCGTTGGGCGCTCGTCTAAGATGAGGGACGGCGCTGGGCGCTCGTCTGAGATGATGGACGGCGTTGGGCGCTCGTCTGAGATGATGGACGACGTTGGGCGCTCGTCTGAGATGATGGACGGCGTTGGGCGCTCGTCTGAGATGATGGACAGCGATGGGCGCTCGTCTGAATATGAGGGACGGCGTTGGGCGCTCGTCTACAAAATGAGGGACGGCGTTGGGCGCTCGTCTAAGAATGGAGGACGGCGTTGGGCGCTCGTCTAAGATGAGGGACGACGTTGGGCGCTCGTCTAAGATGATGGACGGCACTGGGCGCTCGTCTGAGATGATGGACGGCGTTGGGCGCTCGTCTGAGCTGATGGACGGCGTTGGGCGCTCGTCTGATCCGCATGTATGGTCTTGCTTCGTCCATAATGTGTAATATTTGCCTGATATGTACTTAGTATTGTTGTGGGGATTTCATTTTTTGTTGCTCGAGGCCGGCGAGTGCGCGCGGTCCTCGGCTTCCCTCTTTTATTTTTTCTTTTTCCTTTTCTTTTCCTTTTTTTGATTCCGTTCCCCATTTCAGGGAGTGTCCTTCTTTCAGGCTGCGGCCGAAGGGGTCGCTAGTCCTTCGGCCGGTTCGGACTTCGTTTATAACGTCCGTGATCTCAGGGGGGGTCCCGTCGCCTATTTATGACGCGGGCTAGACTTTTGGTTGGTTTCCAACGGTTGCCGTTGCCCGACCCTGAGTTTGGGGATTTTGTCACCTCGGCCATGATTTCAGACCTGTCGTCTTGCGATCGGGCGCGTGGACGACGCGGTGAACTTCCCATTTCAAGACGTGGGCCGTTTGCGGGCCCGTCGTCCTGGGGACATCGTCGGCCCTGCCTGAGCATTTCGCTCTAAGGGGCCGATACGACGTGCTCTCTCAGCTGGGCCTGAGCCTTTCGCTGATACAAAATACAAAGTGGAGCATACCTGAGCCCTTCGCTCTAAGGTTGCTGATACGATACGTGGTATCCTCTATTTACATTTCCAAAAAATAAGCGGAATACAATAGGTGCGTTGTTCATGGCAACGGCTTTTGGGCGACGCGATTAGCGTCTCGGAGAACGAGGTGTACCGTTTACCGCTCTCGGGCATAATGCCATGTGCGGCCGGTAGCGGCTCTCATTTTTAGATGCCCGAGTCACCAAATAAAGGTGGCTAGGGTAGGTCGATGGACCTAAATATAATTCGAATCATCAAATAAAGATGTTCGGTATACTAGAGCTCGGGTACACCACTTTGGGGTTTTTTTGACCCGGTCTAATGGCAGTGATAAAAATAATAACGCCAATAATAAATTTTCATTAGCGACCTCGGGAAATTTTAATCCCTCATAATGGTCTTCACCACCTCGGGGGGTTTTTAACCCGCCATAATGGTGGTGGAAATAATATAATTAATCACTAGTACAAAAAAGGCTTTTTACATCTCCTTTTCTACATGTATTTTTTTAAAACACATGTAGAATACTAACATGGGGTCATTTTTATAATTTTTATAAATTTTTTTACATAGGTTGCAGTTATAACCCATGTGAAACACCAAAACGGGGTACTTTTTTAAATTTTAAGAAATAATCTAAATCGGTTATTATTGCAACCGATGTGAAAAAAAAAGCGGGGTAATATTCATAATTAATGAAAATTTATTTTAGATCGGTTATTATTGCAACCGATCTGGATGATTTTAAAAAATTTAGCTTGATTGCAGACCTAGCCTTCGGGTAATATTCGCTTGATTGCAGACCTAGCAATTCGACGGACTTCGACAATTAACCTTCGACAATTGCAGACCTAGCCTTCGGGTAACGTTCGAGAGAGACTGGACTGCCACACTTGGACGGACTTCGACCGTTCGACGGACTGGTCTTCGGACGACGCTCGATTGGACTGCGGACGGCGGCGTTCGAGCGGAAGGGGACTGCGGACGGCGGCGTTCGAGCGGAAGGGGACTGCGGACGGCGGTGTTCGAGCGGAAGGGGACTGCGGACGGCGGCGTTCGAGCAGACAACAGAGGGGTTCGAGCAGACAGGGTTCCAGCAGCGGCTTTCGAGTTCGAGTCGACGAACCTTCCTCTTCGGCCTATCTTTGAGCGAGCGGACTTTGGTTAGTTGGCTATTTTCTCTAAAAGTATAATTTTATTGGTTTTTTAAACTATTTTTACCATGATTGTGTTGCTATATTTGAAACTAAATGTCTGAAATCTGCCGTTGGAATGTTAGGGATTGAATACTTCATAATTCTGGAATGAATACTTCATATTTCAACAATTAGAAAGCTTATTTATTGTGGTATTGAATACTTCATAATTTGAACTAAACCAGTTTAATCTTTTTTAGAATGCTAACTTCATAGTTTAGTAAAATGTATGTCGGTGAGAGTCAATTAAGAAGTAGTAACATGGACATACAATTTAATGGTTTTACAAGGACTGGATCAATAGTTTACCACCCTGCTTAGGGAAATATTGAATTCCCACAAGTAAGCTACCCCTCTTATTTGAATTGAATATTCTTTACATCCCCATGATATGATAATTAATCTGCCAAGCTTGAATGCTTAATGCTCCCTCGCTTTTCTTTGTTATTGTAATACAGTTTGTGGTGGGCCTAAGTAACAGTGAACTTGAAGAGCACGTCATGCACCGTATGGCTGCCGCTGCTGCAATTGGAAGAACTCATCACAATCAAAGGAGGGAGGGATCTAGAAATCCAGTTGTTGCTTCATCATCTGCATCTGTCCACATGCTAAACAGTTATCCAGAAATCTCTGTTGGTAGTAGGTAGTGGCAACTTAAGCTTTTGTTGAATTGGATATGTGGCATATTTTATGTCAAATCACTTGAAAGATCCCTCTACTAGATCACTTTGCTCAATGTCATCCACCTACTCTAATTGTGTTCAATTTAGTCCCTGCATTATATAGTTAAATGTAATCATCAAGAACAATCATAAACACCATTAGTTATACGGAGTATCTGTTAGTCTTAATTTTTTAAATCACTCTGATCATGTGACTGTGGCATGTATTGTGCCATGGCACCATACCATAAGGAACATATAAGTTAATTTTAAGTAAATGATAAGTTGTTTAACAATGTAGAAATGTCAAATCAGTGTGTTGTTAGTGATCACTGCCAAATCATAAAAAGTAATGAAGATAATTAACTCTGTAAATAGTTGTCCTTAATTATAATGAATTATATGGTGCAGGGCTAAGTTGAACATAATTAAAGGGATTAAATTGAACAAACTGATAGAATAGAGGATCCGCTGGGGAGTGGGCTGGGGAGCTGGGGAGGGGGCTGGGGAGCTGGGGAGGGGGCTGGGGAGTTGGGGAGGGGGCTGGTGGGATGGGGAGGAGCTGGGGAGCTGGGGAGGGGGCAGGGGAGGTGGCTGGGGAGCTGGGGAGTGGGATGGGGAGCTGAGGAGGGGACTGGTGGGTTGGGGAGGGGGCTGGGGAGGGGGCTGGGGAGCTGGGGAGGGGGCTGGTGGGATGGGGAGGGGGCTGGGGAGTTGGGGAGGGGGCTGGGGAGGGTGCTGGTGGGATGGGGAGGGGGCTGGGGAGCTGGGGAGGGGGCTGGTGGGATAGGGAGGGGGTTGGGGAGCTGGGGAGGGGGCTGGTGGGATGGGGAGGGGGCTGGGGAGTTGGGGAGGGGGCTGGGGAGGGGGCTGGTGGGATGGGGAGGGGGCTGGGGAGCTGGGGAGGGGGCTGGTGGGATGGGGAAGTGGCTGGGGAGGGGGCTGGTGGGATGGGGAGGGGGCTGGGGATCTGGGAAGGGGGCTGGGGAGTTGGGGAGGGGGCTTGGGACGGGGCTGGTGGGATGGGGAGGGGGCTGGGGAGCTGGGGAGGGGGCTGGTGGGATGGGGAGGGGGCTGGGGAGTTGGGGAGGGGGCTGGTGGGATGGGGAGGGGGCTGGAGAGCTGGGGAGGGGGCTGGGGAGCTGGGGAGGGGGCTGGTGGGATGGGGAGGGGGTTGGGAGGGGGCTTTATCCTTTTTTCCTTTTTTAATTATTGTTTGTCTTTTATCCTTTTTTTTATGTATACAGGAATCACTGGCAGCTCTTTATTCTCTCTCCTATCCAAAACACTATTGTCTTCTTGTGTTCTTTGGGGAATAAGCCAAATAGACAATTCAAAAATATTATTGATGCGTAAGTATTTTGTACATTCCGTTTTAATATCTTAATTACATAAATAAATTATTATTATATATATATATAATATTATAAATTACATAGTGCAATGGAGGCAAGCTGTAGACTCAACTCAAGAAAGGGAAGAGTGAAATGGATTATTCCTATGGTAAATACTTACTACTTTACTTTGTATGTTATTTTTACTTTCATTTGTGTAGCACCAAGTCGAATACCGTAATTTCTGATTAGTAAGTATGTTGTTCTAATTTGTAGTCTCGGATGCAAGTTGGGAGTTATGAATGTGGTTATTATGTAATGTTGCATATGTTGAATATTGTTTCGGCGGTAATTCTTGAAATGTGGGATGAAGTACATTATTATTTTATTTACATTCAATAGGTTTGCTCTAGATGTAATCTTTTTTAATAACCTTCTTATTTAATTTGTAGCGATTCGCCAATCCGGAACCATTCTCATCAGAAGAGATTGATGAAGTACGGACTCGTTGGGCATCATATTTCTTAGAAATGACGCAATCCATCAACGACACATGATGAACGTGTTTGTTTAAGTTTTTGAGTGATGATGTTAAACAAGTACAATGTGTTATTACTCTAGACTTGTGCAAGAATTGTTTTATTTTAGCTTGTTATTATGTACTAAGTTGTTACTTGACCTTGTTTAACATTTGTGGAAGAATTGAAAATTAGCTTGTGTTATTGTTTTAGATGGATCAAGTGAACAGGTGAAAAATTGTGCTATAGTAGTTGATGATACTGTTAATGATGTGATTATAGTATAAACAGGGGTCATATTGCAAAAAATTTTCATGAAAAATACCGAAAAAATTGAAGCTTTTCACATCAGTTGTGAAATAACCGATGTGATTGCTTTTCTACATGGGTTATAACCGATGTGAAACACATATGTTCCGAAAAAAACGAAACTTTTCACATCAGTTGTGAAATAACCGATGTGATTTCTTTTTTACATGGGTTATAACCGATGTGAATCACATATGTTCCGAAAAACAACGAAGCTTTTCACATCAGTTGTGAAATAGCCGATGTGATTTCTTTTTTACATGGGTTATAACCGATGTGAAAAACCAATGCTCCGGGAAAAATTAAAGCTTTTCTACATCGGTTATAAAATAACCGATGTGGTTTCTTTTTTACATGAGTTATAACCGATGTGAAATATCATTAAAAACGCCGTTTCGGCCTATCTTCTAGATCGGGCACTAAACGACCGATGTAGAAACTTTTTTAACATCGGCTGTTTGACCGATGTCAAAAGTCAATACTTTTCACATGTGCTGGAACCACATCGGCTGTTTGACCGATGTGAAAAGCCTTTTTTGACCGATGTGAAAAGCCTTTTTTGTACTAGTGAATAATAGTAATAATTATACTACTATCACTTAATAAATATATTAAGTGTATAAATAAGAGTATTGGGCACTTAGCTCTTATTTGGGCCGAATTTTTGATGGGCTTGGCTGAGATGAATAGCGTCCAGCAGAACTCATTTGGCCCATTTTAAATTGTACAAGGCTGTTGACTTTTCTGGTGGCCCATATCCCCTTTCCCGCAGCACCTAGGTCTGGAAGAAAGGCCTCCGCTCTGCTGCGGCTTGATGGCGCGCGAAGTGCTGGGCAGGGGGCCGTCCTGATGTCGCCGTAAATGAAGAGGAAACCGCCATCAGCTCGGAGCATCTAGGTCTGGAAGAAAGAGGGACTCCACTCTGCTGCGGCTTGATGGTGTGCAACGGCTACATCCTGACGCAATGGCGAGTAAGCTGTAGGCCGGTGATGACGGGATCTGGAGCCATGACGCACGGTGGTAGATCGTTCCTTCCCTCTGGAAAGAAAGAGGAGAGAGCGGCAACTAGCCTCTCGCGACGCTATGACCGGTGACCGGCGAGGAGGACGAGCAAGCAGAAACCGTCATTCAAGAGAATCGTCCTTCCGGCTGAAGAGAGAAATGGGGTCTTGCTCGCTCTGCAACTTCGTAGGTTGTGGATGGCGGACTCACATGTTCTCTAGGCAATGGATTTTTACTTCAGTGCTATGGCCTCTATGACCTGCGGCGGCGGTGGTGCTGGACCAGGGGCGGCGATGAGAGCTGCAATGGTGCGGCAGACTTCAGCTAAAGCAGCGAGCTTCACCGCCCAACCCACGGTGGCTCAAAGCTGGGATTTTCAGATTTTTTTTGTTGTTCTTGACATTTTCAGATCTGTTTTTGACTGATTTCTTGTGATTGGAATGAATTTTTTGTATGTTTTGGGAGGATTTCTCACTTGATTTTGCTCTAATTTCTCAACGAGAGCACCATTGATGGATTATAGGAATCCAAACTATATAATAAATGAAGATATTTGGGCTAATGTGAGGAAGAAGATGATAATGAATAATGAATTGTGAAATTAGGTTTACAAGAACTCCCTAAGGGAGTATATATAGAAGAATATCCGGGTCTGGGCCTCTAATATGGGCCTGACAGACCCGGTTACATAAATGGACTGATAATATAAAAGACTAATCTAGAACACCTGAATAATAATAATGTACAGTAATGAAAATGCTATCAGCTGAGTGTACGTGGGCCGCTGTCTGGGTCCAATAGTCGTGAGACCCGGGGGTCCGAGTCTATATACTCTATCAATGAGGGTAGAGTATGAAGATAAGATGACGATGACAACAACAACATCCGAGCTTTAGTCCCAAAAAATATTAGAGTTGGCTAACATTAATCGATACATGATATCATCACTAAAAGGAAATATAAGACACTAAATTTAAAGGAATATGAATATAAGACACTAAGAAGAAAAGCATATTAATGCCAAAATGCTATGATTATTGGTGTTTAGTATATTGGCTATTTGGGACAAAAGCCAGATTAAAACTAAATTTAACCAAACATTCTAATTAGCCGATTGAATAGGTCAAAAGGCACATAAATAATTAAATGAGCCAAAAATGATTGATAAACTACTAACCAAACGCTCATATGACTTTGTGGCCAGAAACGCTAGTGGTTAGAAGATTTTCTTTGAATACTAGGTTAGTAAACCAATCGGTCACACAATCACATTTGATATGAATGCGCCCTACTCTTTAAATTGGTCTTCATGGCAAGATGTGAGAAAGGTGAATAAATTAACTTTGTAATGAGGTGTGAGCAAAATATTTACTCCATCCCTCTTATTAGAGTTTGTTAACTATTTTTTTGTTTCTCTCAAAAGTTTTGTTTTTTTGTTTTAAAACAATGAATTTGTGGCTTTGTTCATTTTGTCTCCTCTGCATTAAACTCAATCACACACTTTTACTTTTTAATTTCTCACTCAACATAAAATTGACAAAGTTGAGCGAGACAGAGGTAATATTTTACATTGGTTGCTATTATAAAATTACAACTAATTACATTACATGGAGTAGTATAGTTTTAATATAGTGTTGAACCAAGTTCCATCCATTTCAATATCAACGGTTACGGTAGAACAAGAACTTAGTAATGGCTTCTTACATTCTCAATGATTATTGAATTCAATTGTATGCGCTATTAGTTGAAACACTCATTTAATTTGTCGATTAGTTAAAAGTAAGACAACATACACAAAAATAGAATATCACTCTAATATAAATGTGAATAATTATATAAAATAATAAAGAAATGTGTCGGTTTGATTTCTGTGGCACTATTAAAGATTAGAAATCCGTTTGGTAACACCTTTTTCAATTAGTCAGCCTTATCAACCATTTTTAGCAACGATGTCACTTTTGATTCACACACTGAAACCTGTAATAATCGAAATAAGTAGGTTGAACATATTTTTCTGGCTAAATTGGTTGAAATTGTTACTATCTTTAGTTTTTCATCTATTTTTATTTTATTTTATTAATAAAATATATTTTAAATATATTTTTTCGCAAACTCAGCAAATTCAATCAATTAAGCCGCTTCAGCCAAAATTTTATATTAATCTATACCTTTTACTTTGAAAATTTGCCAAACGGGATACTTTTAAATTTACATTTTACTGCATTTATCATTATGGAATGAATAATCAATAATTGCAAGTAAATACTATTTATACATCAATCATTTTAATGTTAAATTTAAAATGACAAAACACACTAGACATCTAGTAACCGGCTCGAAACAGGCAGAGTAAACCAGTACCAGTAGCGGCGGCGGGACCAATGGGGACAAGGTGGATAGCTGACCCGCTAAAGTATGAGAATATAGAGCATTATAATACCTTCGATTTGGTATATTATGCCTCATGTAACTCATTACGGGTAAAAAGTTCTGAATCTCAAAAATCACCGATATTTTAACTTGAAATGAGTAAAGGTTAATGCGTAATAACAATTATATTCTTAAATTTTAAAAATAGCACCTAATCCACTCATTACTTACGTTAAGTTTATAGTATATATGATATGTATATCAAATCTAGAGGAATGATCATGTCCAGCCGGAGGGACAGGACCCTCCGTCCGGCCATCGCCGTTTGGGGCGTTTTCCGGTGAAATTTTTTGATAAAATTTTTTGAACATGTTTATAATCAAGTCTAGTTTATCCACAAAAAATCAGCTTTGAATTCGATTGGGAAGACAATCAAATAATTTGTTGAAGATAATTGCCCCAAATTATACATATAAAACGCAGTTATTTTTAAAAATTTATTTGACTGCCTTCCCGGTCAAAATTTTGGTTGCATTTTGTGTGGATAAACAAGACTTGATGGAGAACATGCTGAAAATATTTCATCCAAAAACTCCACCAGGAACCACTTCAAACGGCGGTGGCCGGACGACACCTCCTGTCCATCCGGATGGACGTGATCTTTTTCCATCAAATCTATAGCTCTATTAGTCTTTTTTAAACTACTCCCTCCATCCCATTTAAATATGGATGGACTCGGGCCGGGTGGCCCGACCCGGAACCGGCACTGTTCCGGCCCAGCCCGACCCGGTGGCCCGGTCAGTGACCGGTCCGGGTAGGCCCGACCCGTGGGTTTTCCGGTCCGGGCTCGGGTCACCCAAAACAAGGCCCGACCCGGCCGGGCCCCAGCCCAGTTCGAGCCAAAACTAATTTTTTTTTTTCATTTTTTTTAAAATTTTCGGGTTGGGCTGGGTATTTTGGGCCATTTGGGGTGGTTTGGGGGGTTGGGGGTGGGAGGGGGGGTTAATTAGGAAGAGGGAAAAAAATAAAATTGATAATGGGCCCGAACCGGCCCGGACCCGGTGGTTACCCGGGCCGGTCCCGGGTCCACCACTCCTGAACCGCCGGCCCGCCCGGGCCTAGGCCTCACCCGGACCAGACCCGAGTCCACCCCTACATTTAAAGGTTTCATCCACTATACTTCAATCAACGTGCATTATTCTTAATCTTTTACTTTATATATCCAACTTTTATCAAATTTAAATTTTCTTGATCAGGCTTTGTAGCGGCTTTAATGTAGTTTCTGAATATGTAAATTTTATTTACTAAAAATAATCTTATTAATGACAGAGATCAATTAACTTTATGGTCAATCACATCGTAAACTGCGTGGGAACCTTGAAATGGGATGGAAGGAGTACCATATATCTAAGTTACTTATGAAACATTTTAACTCATGGACCATATATCCACCCTTTTTATTGTGTATCACTGTATCTAGTTAAGTCTTGAACCCCTAGACCAGCCCAACCCGAAATTTTAAAAAAATTGAAAAAAAAAATAGATTTTGGCCCGAACCGGGCCCGGGCCCGACCGGGTCGGGCCTTGTTTTGGGTGACCCGATCCCGGACCGG